TATTGAAAGTGATCAGGTGGAGTTGAAGGATGAATAAGAATTAGCCATGAAAGTAAGCTTGACATGTACGTGGGAACACCAAGGGTAAAGCTTCAGAGGACCAGTCTTGTGAAAAGTGAGAAGCTTGAATAGGACTGGAAGTTGACTGGAAAGTCACTGCATCTTCTTAGAGGAGACCCAAAGGGAGTGCACAGAGACACTCAGAAAATATGAATATTCTTTGATACAGAGACAAATTAAAACCACAGAGTTTATTCCTTAAAAGAGGTGATAGTAATTTTAACTGAAAAAATGTTTGTTTTTATCCTCACCCGAGGATATTTTTTCATTTATCTTCAGATAGAGTGGGGTGGGGGGGCGGTGGGGGGGGAGAAAACATTGACCTGAGAGAGACATACAACTGGCTGCCTCTTGTATGACCCCCACCAGGGCTAGGGATGAGCCACAACTGAGGTACGTGCCGCTGACCGGAATCGCGACTCATTGGTTTGTGGGCCGATGCCCTAACCACTGAGCAAAACCGACCAGGGTTTAACTGAAAAATATTTACAGAAATGTAGCTAACCAATGTCCTCAGCTATTAAAAATCAAACCAAACCATGACAATAAACCTTCAAGTCAAGTTTCCATAGCACATATAACTTGAAGCATAACTTTTGAGGGTGTCCTCCAAGTTAAACTCATTGACAAATGTACATTTAAGTCACTAAAATAAAGTTGCAGAATATGAGTTATGAGTCTCAGTTAAAGAAAAATTATCTAAAAAGCAGTTACTTTGATTTTAGAATAGTGGATATGTAGCCTTTTCTCCTGGCAGAAATTAGATAGTAGGACCAGTTGTCTTTTAAGTTAAGTGCCTTCCTAGACTGGTGGTAAATCCAGGCCATCTCAAAGCATGCGCATTTTCATGGGGGGAGATTATCTCACTTATCTGAAAGAGTTGCTCAACAGGGACAGATTAAAGAGAAAGGGATTGAAAATATGCTGGAATATGCTGATTTTTGTTAATCCTCACCCAAGGATATCTTTTCATTGATTTTTAGATAGAGTGGAAGGGAGGGAAGGAGAGAGAGAGACACATTGATTCTTGCCTCTTGCACGACCTGGACAGGGGCCCAGAATCGAACCTGCAACACAGGTACGTTGACTGGGAAACAAACTCGAGACCCTTCAGTCCTCAGGCTGATGCTCTAACCACCGAGCAAAACCAGCCAGGGCTGCTGGCTTATTTTTTTTTTTTTTATTCCTCATCCGAGGATATTTTTATACTTATCATCAGATAGAGTGGGAGGGAAGGAGAGAGAGAGAGACAGAGAGAAACATTAATGTGATAGAGCCACATCAACTGGTTGCCTCCCGCATGACCAGAGCAGGGCTGGGGACGAACCACAACCGAGGTTCATGCACTCGATCGGAATCCGACTCGTGGCTCATTGGTCCGCAGGCCAACGCTCTAATCACTGAGCAACACTGGCCAGGGCTGCTGGCTGATTTTATAGGAATGGTTCTATTGATATAATTTTGGTTTGAACTAAATTAGCCCTGACCGGTTTGGCTCAGCGGTTGGAGTGTTGGCCTGCAGACCAGAGAGTCTCGCGTTTGGTTCCCACCAGGGGCACGTACCAAAAAAAAACTGAGTTAAATATTCTGACTATGATTGCTTTTCATGAGAGCAGCAAAGGCAGTTTCTATGAGGAACTCACAAAGTGTGACCTGTAAAGCAATTTTATAACATTTAATAGTAATAATGTCCAAGTCCACACATAGTTTCCAAAAGAACTGCTCAAGTACAGGATGGGAGAGACTAAGAGTAGTCTAAGAGTTTAGCCATTTCAATATGAATTAGAAGTATGACAGGACTCCTAAACAGCTAATGTAATGCTAGACTGCTTCTTTGATTAGTGTTAAAACTGAGAGATGTCTATTCTCTGCAATGGGTTGCTCAGTTCTAGAGATCTTATTTTAAGGAAGCACATTGGAAAACTGAAGTGTGAAACAGGAGGGTAACTCAAATGCTGAAAAGCCTAAAAACACTTCCATATTGAAGGAGAAAGAGAATAGACTTCGAGGACATGAAATGATCTTCCAACTATTTGAAGGGCTATCCCTGGGAAGAAAGGAGTAGGTAGACTTTTGTTTTGCTCCAGATGACTTGTCTGGGACATTGGGTGAAACTACAGGAGACTTACTTCTGGAAAAGGAAATTTGTGTGTGTATATATATATATATATATATATATATATATATACACACACACACACACACACACACGTTTTTAAGCAAACAGTAGGAGCATGGAAAAAAGAGTGATCTCTCTTTGAAAGTGTTTAACCGTTGTTCCAAAGACCATGTGCGGGTGATGTATTAAGGAAAGTACACCAGTACTGGTAGCAAGGTTGAAATAAGTAACTTTCGCATTCTTTCTTGTTAAGAGCCCTGACCTAGAAGAAATATTATTTGACTAATAATGATCACTGGCATACTCTGGCATCTAAACAATACATTTATTCAATTCACTATTAAGTACTACCCTCTTCCAGGTGTTAGAGATATACAGTGAATAATAAAGACAGAGTTCCTTCCTTCTTTCTTAAGGATTTTAATGGGATAGATAAGAATGATTTGGAATTGCCCTGGCCGGTTTGGCTCAGCGGTTAGAGCGTCCGCCTGCGGTCCGGAGAGACCTGGGTTCGGTTCCCGCTAAGGGCATGTACCTCGGTTGCAGTTTGTCCCCGGCCCTGGTTGGTCGTGCAGGTGGCAGCCACTCGATGTGTCCCTTTCACATCGATGTTTCCCCCTCTCTCTCTTCCTCTCTTTCCCTCCCACTCTGTCTGTACAAAAAATGGGAAAATGTCCTCGAATGAGGATAAAAAAAAAAAAAAAAAAGAATGATTTGGAATTAGCATATCAGTTGTATAGCCATGACTAAAATACTTAGATTATTTATTCTTTTAAGTAAGTTAAATATACCCCATAGGCCTTTTTCTAGTATTTTTCTTAGCACAAATGTTTAAAAATTAGTAAATAAGTTTTATTTCTTTCCAAATTAAGGCAAATTTTAAATTAAGGAAAGCTTATGTTTAGAATTTTTTGTAATACTGTATGTACATATAGCATTTAAATGCCTTCCAAAGCAATTTTTGGCTTGTCTACAATTTTAAATGAGTATTATTAATTCATTCTGCAAGTGTTTATTGAGTGCCTGTTATGTTCCAGGAATTAAAGGTTCTGGGTATATAGCAGTGAAAGAAATCCTTGTCTTCTTGAAGCTCACAAAATAAATGTTATATGTTGGGTAATAAGTGCTAAACAGAAAATTAAACTGGAGGTTAGGGGATATTGGGTAGGATCTTGGGGACCATTACAAGGATTTGGACTTTTTCTTCGAGTGAGACAGGAGACCATTGGGCTGTTCTGTTCAAAGGAGTGATATGATCCGATTTATTTGACAAAGGATTGCTATAGCTTCTCTGTTGAATATAGAGAGGGCCTGAGTGAAAAAGGGAGATCAGTTAAGAGACGTGTAATAATCTAGGTGAGAGGTGATAGTGACTTCATTCACATAGCAGAAATGGAGATGGTGAAAGGTGGTTGGATTCTGGATATTTATTTAAGGCAGAGCCACACAATTTGCTGATGGATTGGATGTCAGGGTGAGAGAAATGATCTAGTAGAGAGGCAACTTTTGATGCAGGGTGGAAGAGTTGATCTCAGAGCTTGGACAGTTCATCCGTAGTGATAGACAGAATGGGTAGGATGCGGGTGGGGTAGACGTGGTGCTGAGGGCTTATGATAGTTTTTTCCGATCGCTTCTCTTTTCTTAGGGAAATAGGAAGCTAGATCAACCGCTGAGAGAGAGGAGGTGTTGGGAGAGGAGAGGAGAGAGTATGAGGTGGTTGTTCAGACTGCTATAACAAAATACCATAAACTGGGCGGCTTAACCAACACACATTTATTTTTCTCAGTTCTGGAGTCTGGGAACTCCAAGACTAGGGAATCAGCATAGTCATGTTGTGCTGAAGGCTCTTTCACTGGCTTGCAGATGGTCACCTTGTCATTGTGTCCTCACATGGCAGAGGGAGAGCGACAGAGAGCGAGCTCTGGGCACTAATCTCTTTATGGAGGCCCTATCCTCATTACCTCATCTAAACTGAATTTCTTCTGATATAATAGCATTGGGGTTTGGGGCTTCAGCATATTTTGTGGGAGACAGTCATTCAGTACAAAACCGGAATTTAGCATGCTTTCTAGGCAGCCCACCTGAGGTTTGTGGTAATGAATTTAAAGTGACACCAGGCATTGTGTTTGTATTTCTCTTGCCAAGTTTAGCTGTCTGAGCCTAGGCATAGTCGGCTGACAGTTGGGTTTAACCAGGACTGGGTTTTTTTCCCAGGTGACCATGATGAGGGGAGAGAGGAATAGTGATTATATAATGATTGACCATAATTTAAGCTGACCAAGTAGGGAAATAAGGGCACAAAGGAGGTGAAGATCAGTGACAACATGATAGATCAGGGTTTTGTAGGTTCTAGTGGAATGGAAGAATTTGGAGGCTCAGGGTGTCAGAGGAAATGAATTAGGAAGATATAAGGTGCTTGAAATTCAAAGTATGGAGAGATTACAGGTATTGGTAATAACAGATCTGAGGTATGACTGTGCAGTTGGAGACTTGGGTGCAATGGAAAACAAAATTACTGGAAGAGAGGAGTTCAAAGTAATGTGCAGTAATATCTGTGATTATTTCAACAAATAGGGATTTTGTGTTCCATGTGTGATTCCTTGAAGCTTAAAGAGAGAAGTGGTGGGTAGTGGTGGGAAAAAGGAGAATCAATCTCCCGTATAATGCTTGATTAAACTTTTATGCTTTCATGTCCTAATGCTGTTAACCTGATCCAATATTACAGATTCATATCATGAGCATTTTCATAGCTGATCTTTCTTCTATTTCATGTGCTATATTAACATTAATATTCTAAATGTAATAATTGTTGGTTCTTCAGCATTGAATACATTTTTGGATGATCCAGAGTTTGCTGCTATTGTATTGAAAGCAGAGCAAGCAATAAAATTTGGAGTTTTTCCAGAAAGAATCTCTCAAGGTTCAAGTGGAAGTTACTTTGTGAAGGATCCTAAGAGGGTGAGAATTTCACAGACCTACTATATGTAACAGAAATTTTGGAAAACATTAATTTAAATATGAAGTCATTGTGAGTTTCTGAAGATATTTTCCTAATAAATCTGATTGCACTTTCTTTTTAGAAATAAAGGTTATTTTTATTTATTTATTTATTTATTTTACTTAAAGTACTACTATTTAGAAGTAAAGCTATTCATTTAAAGTCATAGTTTGCTATCCTATTATCTTACTGTTTGGTTTCAAGCATTATTGAATACTCACTTTCAACTGTAGATTTGTTGAGTTTATCATAACTCCTTACCTTACAATAGTCTATATTAGCCAAGCAAAGTTTAATGTCATTTTCAAATTGCTTTATTTTTTTAATAGGTTTATTTTACCCTAGGACTATTATTTCCCTGCATTACACCAGAGAAGGAGCCTGGGAAGTTTGAAGTTTGAAGGCATTGGAATGTGACAAAGTGAAATGAATCAAAGTATAATTCTAGGGCAGAAAAGAGAAGCTGATATGGGACTTTGTTCCACTTAGTCTAGAATTTTTCAATATTAATGTTATCATTTGTAAAAGCTTTCTGAATGATGCATAGCAAGCAGTTCCTTTTTTAGGAGGAAGAGAGATTATAATTTCATACAGATATTTTTTGCAAAGCTCGAAGTTATATTTTAAAAGTCTTTTTTGAGGTTTAAGTATATGTAGGTAATGTCAATCTCAGTCTTTATTCTGAGTTTGAGTTCTCAGTTTGTTGTTGTTGATTTTCTTATTGGTTCAGACTTTTTGCATTATAAACAATTACTTAAATTACTTATATACTTAAAATTATAATAATTTTATCTTGTCTAAGGATAATTCAGCTCCTAAATGTAATGTGAGTATATTTTATCGGATCAGTAGTAAAGATTATAGACTACTGGATATCCATGAGCAAATTTTTTTAAGAGGAGAAAATTTGTTTAAAATCGGTTCATAAAAAAATTATTGGAGCTCTGCTTGTGTGGCTCAGTGGATTGAGTGTTGTCCCATGGACTGAGAGGTCCCGGTTTGATTCCCAGTCAAAGCCCATACCTGAGTTGCAGGCTTGATCCCTGGTGGGGGGCATGCAGAAGGCAGTCGATCGATGTATCTCTCTCACACTGATGTTTCTATCTATCTCACATTGATGTTTCTATCTCTCTCACATTGATGTTTCTATCTCTCTCCCCCTTCGTCTCTTTCTGAAAAATCAATAAAAACATATTTTTTAAAAATAATAATAATTGGAAAAAAGATATTAGGGCCAGAGAATCTGACAACATAGATGTTTACTATATCCTATTTTATATTTTATCTTTGTCATTATCTGTATAGAGAATACTTTTTGTCATTGGATTTATTAATTTAACATGCTTGAATGCCTGCCGTGTATCAAGTACTGTTGTGAGTACACGGGATACAGTCCTAAGATAGTTTTTGCCCTTTTAGAAAGTACATTATGTGGGAAAAGTAGACAATAAACAAATAGACATATAATTTGTATATTTAACAGATTTTAAATAATAACTGTTTGATCTCAGTGGAATCCTTTAATGAGTTGAAAGTCCGATGTATAAAACTAGTGTAATATAAGTCTGTTTGATTAAGTGGCATGACGTCTTAGATCTCGGTCCTCACCTTCCCTCACCTTCCCTAGGGTTTCTCAGAGCACAGTTTGGAAACCACTAGCCCAAAGGATTGTTGATTTTTAGACTGTTGAATGAGAATGAATGTAAAAATGTGATTGGAACTAAATCCCTTAATATTTAAGGGTTATGTTCAATTCTGGTGGGAGGATTTATCAAGCATGAACTTTATGGATTATTATTTGTATATTAAAGTCTAATAAAATTTCTACTTTTTTTCCCTATAGAAAATTATTGGTGTGTTTAAACCCAAATCGGAAGAGCCTTATGGTCAGTTGAATCCAAAATGGACAAAATATGTTCATAAGATCTGCTGCCCTTGCTGCTTTGGCAGAGGCTGCTTGATTCCTAACCAGGGGTACCTTTCTGAAGCTGCTGCCTCTCTTGTGGATGAAAAGCTTCATCTGGGCATTGTACCAAAAACAAGGGTAAAGAAAAATTTGTTTTTAAGCATGGACTTTGGTTTACAGCCTTTTTCTCTCTGAACACATTTCTAATGACAGAGCCTAAAATTGAGCCCCCTTTTTTTGGTAATCCAGAGTCATAAGCTACTAACAACTTCTAGTGTAGACCCACAAAAAGTACCCAAGGGAATGTCTCCAACATATGAGCTGAGATGATGCTATGATAAAGGACTAGCTTTTAGAAAGCAGATAAAGATCAGGGATCTAAAAGTTCTGTTGAAGGTAGAGATAACTAATGGGCTCAAAAGACTGGTTTTTTTTTCTTTTCTTTTTTTTCTTTTTACATTTTTACTTGAAGACTTCCTCAAAATATTCATTCTTAATTGTACATTTCAGGACTATTACTTCTTTCAACCACTGGCTAATTTTAGGCTGTGTCTCTCAGAGAGAAAGATGTGCCATTGAACAGACTGCAGAATCCCATAGCCTTTCTATTTTAGATTCTCTGAGGCATTTCGTATAGGATTCAACTTCGCTAATTTACAGTATTCAAGTGAGTTTCATAATGTATATGAATATAAATACTATCATGCAAATTCTAATAACCATTTTTCTAAACCATATGGTTCTAGGTGGTTCGACTTGTCAGTGAGACATTTAACTACAGTGCAATTGACCGCGCAAAAGCTAGAGGCAAAAAGTATGCTTTAGAGAAAGTGCCGAAAGTAGGTAAAAAATTTCATCGGATAGGACTCCCTCCTAAGGTAAGTTACTGTGATAAGCTTTATTTGGGAGGCAATTCAGTGTCTATTATTTGAGCTATAGACTATGGATATAATAGTAACAAAAACAATTTTTCATCTTCAAAGAACTTACAGTATAGAAGCAATCTCAATGCAATATGATAATGTTGTTAAGATGGTTAAGAGCTGGGAAACTCAGAAAGAGTAAAGGAGAGATATGTAACCCTTTTGGAGGGCTAGGGGATGTTTGCAAGAGGAGGTTGCATCTAAAGCTTTACAAAACATTGGCTAAAAGCACAGATCCAGAACCAAATAGGTTTTACTCCCAGCCTCTCTATCAGTTAGCTCTGAGACCTTAGGCTAATTCCTTACTCTCCAACCCTCATTTTCTATAAAATGGGGGAGTGATCAAAACTACCTCTTAGGGTTGTGAGGTTCAAATGAAGACATTTATGTCAAGTACTTGGTACAGTCCTAGCACATAGAAAAGTAAATGATAGTAGCTGTGTTTGCTTCCTACATATTAGATCTTCTTTTTCCTTACCACTTTTAAACAAACCTAAGGGATGATTAGCAGCTAGCTAAGCAAGGATGGAGAGGGTTAATGGGAAAGGCATTTTAGAAAAAACTCTAAAGTTTTTTTTTAATGCCCTGGCCAGTTTGGCTCAGCGGTTAGAGCGTCGGCCTGCGGTCCTGAGAGACCCGGGTTCGGTTCCCGCTAAGGGCATGTACCTCGGTTGCAGTTTGTCCCCGGCCCTGGTTGGTCGTGAGGGTGGCAGCCACTCGATGTGAAAGGAACACATCGATGTTTCTCTCTCTCTCTCTGTTCCTCTCTCTCCCTCCCACTCTACCTGAACAAAAAATGGAGGGATGTCCTCCGGTGAGGATAAAAAAAAGAACTAAATAAAGTTTTTTTTAAAAATATATTTGACCTGCAGTTTTGTTGTGTTGTAGCTGTACATTGATCTAGATAAAAGAATCTGAGTAGAAATTCATGATCAGTTTAACTTATTTTTAAAATTGTACTCAAAGTAAGCAAGGAATTGGAAAAATTTTATAAGACTTGTTAACTCCTTGCATATGCTGAAATAAGTATGATTAAAAAAAAGGATATTATTTCCATATTTATGACTAGTAGGACTTAATTATAAATGCTTTAGAGGAAACCTTTAGGAAATCATTAAAATTTCATGCCAACAACAAAAATATAAATTGTTGAGAAAGGATAAGAAATTGATTATTTTGTGGTGATTTATTTGTATTTATTAGGCCATCTAGGTTACCCATTACCTGTATGTCATGTGCTGTTTAAATTTGTATTTCCTTTCAAAACTTTTTTAAAGTTAACAACCAGTAATTTTAGCGATAGAAATGTCTTTTATCCTAAAATAGCTGCTGTACTCCTTGAAAGTCTAGGGTTGAACATTTTTTATTTGCTATGTATTCTTTATATGATATTTAACATTGGTGTGTAAAAATGGTGTTCTTGATAAACATAGCTTATCTAAATTAGTATTAACTCTTTTATTTTTCTTACTGTGTTTATATATTTTATGATGATACTGCTTAGAAATTTTTAAAATAATCCTTTTATTCTCATACTTTCTTTTCTAACTGTAGTTCTTAAAATTATAGATTGGTTCCTTTCAGTTATTTGTTGAAGGTTACAAGGAGGCTGAATTTTGGCTTAGGAAATTTGAAGCTGACCCTTTGCCTGAGAATATTAGAAAACAATTTCAGTCACAGTTTGAAAGATTAGTGATTTTGGATTACATCATCAGAAACACAGGTATTGAAGTTCTCTCATTTGTTCACTCAAATCTTGTTAGCTTTCAAACTGTATTCAGCTCCTGTTATCTAAATCAAAGACATAAAGTTTTGATGCAGAACTCTTGAGGCTGCTTTTTCTCTGCCTTCCTTAGAAAAGAGAGATGCAGTCCTGACCCACCTGACAGAATTGGAGATCCTGACCCATGGCAGGCTCTTGCCCTGGTGGTCATGATCAGTTCCTGTTCCTAGCGGGGTGTTTTTTGGCAGCAGGACCAACCTGGTTTTAAGAAATGTTATTGACGTAATATGAATAATTAAAACTTGATTGTATAAATTATTTTAGATGCTTGTTTTGACTGTAGGTAATATAGTGTAGTCTATAAATACATTAAATTCTTAATTTTTTATGAGCTGGAAGGTAACAATGATGTAGGTGATATAACACAGTGTTTCCTAGCCTGTCAAGGTCAGTGTTATGTGGGGACTTGGTACACTTGTAGTAGCCCACTCCAGGCCTGCTGACATAGAAACTGCGTGTGGGGGCCAGCAGTTTGTGTTGTAACAAATCCTCCAGGTAATTTTGCTGCACTCTGAAGTTTGAGAGCCACAACTTCAAATGTTTGCTCAATTATATTAGTTTCTCAACAAGCATTATATACTTTTCTAGATTTACCATCTTAATTAATATGGTCTTATGTAAATGTTAAAATTAGTGTAGAGTTTAGAATATTCCTATAAAGACATTAGATGAGAGCCTATCCAGATATTTACCTGGTATTAGGGTTAGATGCTTTTTCTTTCTAAGGTGCAGAAAAATTACCCTTGATTTTAATAACCTTGATTTAATAGTTGTTGACAATAATTATACCTACCTCACAGAGTGGTTATGAGGGTTAATATGAATTAATATATGTTAAGCACTTACAACAATGTCTGGCACATTGTTTTTTAGTTTGTATGTATTAAATTGGAGCCTTTAATATGTAAATATATGTCACAGATAACCAATGAAAGTCTCGAAAATCATGAAGTGACTGGATTTCCCCCCTTGATATTAAGCTATGATATTCATAAAAAGGCAAACAGATTTTTAAAATTTATTTATTTTATTTACTCATTTACTTTTTGCTATTTTGAAAGACAGGGGAAATGATAATTGGTTAATCAAATATGAAAAACAGAAACTTGGAAAGGAAATTAAGGTAAGGAAATTAAAAAAGAACATATATGTGTGTGTGTGTACACACACATACAATTTCTGTAAGATTCCTTGAATTTGTTCTTCATTATTTTCTCATTTCCTTCACTCAAATCTTTGGTTTTTATTTCCTTTTGCTCTTTTTCTCATCTTTTTTCTTTTCTTCTCTTGTTTACATTTCTTCATTCTGTTTTTTTAAAATCTCCATGCAGCTTTATTTTTTAAGTTTCATTAGAATAGAAAAATGATACCAGCTTGGTACTTTTTAGAGAGCTTAGAAAATTTTTGTAAAACTGCCAGATTTATTTTGCTTTAATTTTCTAGTATTTTTTGTCATGTTTTATATATTACTAATATATTTCTTTCTGAGTCTTATGACTAAGTATTAGGACATACAATTTTATGGAACATGTGAGATTTACCTGTGAATCATATACATTGAACTTTAATAAAAATGTACTCCTACTTGCATAATAAGCTGGTTTTAATGTACACATAATGGACTGCATAGACCCATAATAGCATCAGAATGGTAGATTTTAGATCAACTTTTGTCAACTCTGACTACCCAAGTTCATATTTTAAATATTTACATAAGATGTATTTTCAGGATAGTTTTACTAGTTTAAAAGTCTATATATTTGTGAAAGTTTTAACTAGTTTAGAAAATAATTTCTCCAATACTTATAATCTGTGTGTTCTCATCACTTAAAGCTATGGCATCACTTTAGAAAGTCTATACTTTTCAGTGATTTTTAAAGAAATTTAAAACTTCATCTTCATAGTATATAGCAATAAAAAAGAACAGACTCAATATAGGTAGTAATGTGGATGAATCTCAAAATCCTGCTGAGTGAAAGAAGCCACACACAAAGGAAACATACTGTCTGATTCCATTTATAAAAACTTCAAAAAGTGTTAACTAATCCCTTTGACAGAAAGCAGAACGTGGTTGCCTAGGGGTGGGAGGGAGGGACTGCAAAGAGACACAAGAAACTTGGGTGAAGGTTTCAATGTTTATCAAAGTGTACACTTTAATATCTGAAGTTTATTGTGTGTGAATTACACCTCAATAAAGTTGTAAACAGAAAAAAATGATAGAAATAAAAATAAATGCCAGTTAAAGCACAAATGGATTTAAAATACAGACTTAAATATACATATTTATAGTAATTCCTAAATATATTTTATTGGTTTATCTTGAGCAATTAGATTTTACTGAAAATTTTATTATTTTGCTCTTAAGTATTTTGTGCATTTTTATTGATATACTTGATATAAACTAAAGGATATAAACCTGGCATATATCACACAGACCTTTAACTTTAATATTTTTAGTTTTAAAAAATAAATTTTTACATTTTTTATTGAATTTGTTAGGATGACATTGGTTAATAAAATTATATAGGTTGAGGTGTACCATTCTATAATAAATCATCTGTATATTGTATTGTGTGTTTACTACCCCAAGTCAAGTCTCCTTCCCTCACCATATTCCCCCATTATGCTCTTCTACCTACTCCCACCCCCTTTCCTTCTGGTAATCACTATACTATTGTCTGTGTCTATGAGGGTGTTGTTGTTTTTTTAAATTTGTTTTTCTTTATTGATTTTTTTAGAGAGAGAGGGAGAGAGAGAACATCGATTGGCCACCTTCTGCATGCCCCTCACTGGGGATCGGGCCCACAACCTGGGCATGTGCTCTGACTGGGAATCGAACCTCTTGGTGCATGGGTCAGTGCTCAACCACTGAGCCACACCGGCTGGGCTATGAGGGTGTTTTTTTTTGTTTCGTTGGGGTTGTTTTGCTTAATCCCTTCACCATTTTATCCAGCCCCCTAACCCCCCTCCCTTCTGACAGCTGTCTGTCTGTTCTCTATCTACGAGTCTGTTTCTATTTTGTTTGTCGGGAATTTTGTTCATTAGATTCCACATATAAGTGAAATCACATGGTACTTGTTTTTCTGTGACTGGCTTATTTCTCTTATCATAATACCCTTCAGATACATTCCATGCTGTCGCAAAACATAAGATTTCCTTCCTGTTTATGGCAGAGAGGTATTCCTTTGCCCTTTTTCCCCCCCCACTCATCTACATTTAATTTTAAAATGATCTAATTTACCTTTTATTATCTAGGCCACTTAATAATGGCAACTGTCTATCTTTAAATAATAGAGAGTACTCTAACTTAAAAACCTTCTTGCTTCTGAGGTCTTTGTTTCTGCTATAGAAGAATGTAGAAGTTAGGAATTATGAAATCAAGAGTTTCTTGAGGTTCCTTCTACTGGACCTTGTTATACTTAGCCATGGTCTTTGGGAAGTTTTATTTAGAAACATTTTGTATTCGAAACGAATTATTTCTGTCGTACCCTAGAAAAGACTAGATTTTTAATAAGGTAACTTATTGAGTTGTTAAAAATGTCTATGTTTTCTAACTTTCATACATTTAAGCAATGCATCTAGCAATAAATTATCCAGAATAATACTTTAATTTTTAATAATTTCAAGCTCTCTTCCCCAAAAAGGAAAGAAAGAAACCATTACTATATAAATTTGTAATATCAAATTTTTGAAAAGTAGTGATCTGAACCTTGGCCAGTTTGGGTCAGCGGTTAGAGCATCGGCTCCTGGACCAAAAGGTCTCAGGTTCAATTCCTGGTCAAGGACTCGTTCTTGGGTTGCAGGTTTGACCCTTAGCCCTGTTTAGGGTCATGCAGGAGGCAACCAATTGATGTGTCTCTCTCACATTGATGTTTCTCTCTCTCTCTCTCTCTCTCTCTCTCTCTCTCTTCCTCTTCCTCCCTCCCTCCCTCCCTCCCTTCCACTCTATCTAAAAATCAGTGGAAAAAATATCCTTGGGTGAGGATTAACAACAACAACAAATTAGTGATTTGAAATTCTTACTGATTTTTAAGATGGTCTCTGCCCTTCAGTGGTGAATATGTACTTTCTGGGAACTTATTTTCCATTTTTATAGGCTTCAGATAAAATGTCTTTAAGCCTCAATAACTTCTATAAATACTTTATCCGTTAAAAATATTTTTATACTTTTTTAATCAACAGACCATTTTTCTCCTTTTTAGGAAACAAAATGGATTGATGATAAAGAATTACTTATTAAAGTAGCTGCAATCGATAATGGTCTAGCATTTCCTTTTAAACATCCTGATGAGTGGAGAACATGTAAGTATTTAGAACCTTCTATAGGTTCTATAGTTACCCCTTTTCCAGAAAAGGAAGAGAACAAAATTTATGGTCATTAAACTAGCAGAAGAAAAACTGGGTGAAATATCATTCGTTTAGGGCTCTGTTTCAGGCACTCTCTGCAAAGATGTGCACTATACGTGTCTCGCCATGTATGCTCACTTATCTTTGGATAACTGTGCCTGATTTTGATTTTTTGGCTTGTATTGGCATTGTAAATTAAGTTTGATAGCTTTCCAATTTCAAATATATATATAAAGCATGGGAATTATCCATTTAATATTTTGGTAGAGCTTAATTTTAATGTTTTGGGTAATATTCACTGATAAAACAATTTAAGTCTTAACCGCTCCCCCCCCTTATTTTTTTTAGTGAATGGCACTTTAACCGCCTTACCAGTGTCTCTACTGGTTTGGTTTTTATGTCTTAAAGGTCTGGTTGCTGTGTTTTAAGCTGGCAGTTTTAGACATTTTCATTTTGCTTAAAAATTGTCCATATCTTGGGTTGTAGATTTATGGATATAAACTTGTTAATAGAATTCTCCTATAAATAAGAACATTTTCTCTATGTATATTAAGCATTTAGGGGTGAAATGTTGACCGGATTTGCCTTAAAGTATTTGGGGAGAGAAAACAGGGATAGATGAAACCAGTTTTGTTAAATTTTTAGAATAATTGAATTAGGTTATTCAGAATATGGGAGCTCATAGTACTAGTTTTTTAAATATATATTTAAAATATGTGTAATAAATTTTAAAAGTAATCTCTGTATCTATGACTGTGCCACTTTTAAATTTCTACAGTTCATTAGTTCATTAGTTTCTTATTTTTTTCTTTATTAGAGTTAACCAAAGATTTGTCTATTATAAAACATTGGCCTCTTTACATTTGTATGTTTTTCAGCTAATTTGCCTTTTTTATTTATCAGATTTTCAGTTTTATTTACTTGCTTTTTCTTTTTCATTGATAATTTGTGTTTTCCACATTATCATTTTCTTCTGTATTCATCCTATATGGCTTTCCTATATGTTTTTTTCTAGGTATCATTTTGGCTAAGCCATAGATTGGACATGCTGCTCTTTTATTCTGCTTTATAGATTCATACTTTCAGATTTTCTTTTTGACAGGAGTCATTTAGAAGTGTTTTGTTTGATTGTAAAATTTCTAGATCAGCTGATTTTCTTTAAAAACTGTCATTTGTTATTTTTAAGTTTTCTTGCTTTGTGATCTATGGATGTGGCTGTGTGAAATCTGCTTTTGATGTTTGTGAGTAATTCCTATGTAATCTGATATATGGCCAATTCGAAGGGCTGTATTTGAAAAGAATGTATTTGAGTGCAAAGTTCTTTATCTGTCTTCTAATTAAAGCTTATTAGTCAAATCATATTGTTGACTCATTTTTTTGACTATTTGATCTGTTGATTTTTGAGAGAATGTTCAAGTTCACTATGATTGTGACTTTATCGATTGCTTACATTTCCATATATTTTTTGCTTTGTATTTTACATTCTTAAAAGCCCAGCATTTTATCTTACTGGTGGCTTGTTCCAGTAAGGAACATCCCACTTTATTTCTCTCAGTGTTTTCTTTCTTTTTTTTTTTTTTTTTGTCTGTTGTAACATCGGTACACCTTATTTCTTTCTATTAGCATTTACCTGGTATTCTATACTTTTTTTTTTAACTTCCATCATTTTGTTTTAAGTATATGACTTATAAATATTACTTAGCTGGATTTTTTTAAACCTAGCCTGAGAATCTTTTAATACATACGCTTAACTCTATATTATAGTTTGTTTCAATAAACTACTGGTGTATTTGAACTTTTATTGCCATCTTATATATTTCTATTCACCATAAATTCCAGTTATTCTTTTTCCTTTTCTATCTTTATGGAACTGACTTGAGATGCCTTTGTTTCATTTCTTTTTCCTCTAATGATCTGTATGTAAATTGCACTTTAAAAAGTGTTAAGTTTAGCCCTGGCCTGTTTGGCTCAGCGGTTAGAGCGTCGGCCTGAGGTCCAGAGAGACCCAGGTTCGGTTCCTGCTAAGGGCATGTACCTCGGTTGCGGTTTGTCTCTGGCCCTGGTTGGGTCGTGCGGGTAGCAGCCACTCGATATGTCCCTTTCACATCGATGTTTCTCTCTCTCTCTCTCTCTTTTTCTCTCTTCCTCCCACTCTATCTGAACAAAACATGAAAAAATGTCCTCGGGCCCTGGCCAGTTTGGCTCAGTGGTTAAAGCGTCGGCCTGCGGTAGAGAAAAAATGTCCTCGGGTGAGGATTAAAAAAAAAAAAGTGTTAAGTTTAAGTTGCCTACAATACATCTGGGAAATTTTACCAAACACACATTTGGAGATTGAGGGTCTTGAACTTGAAAGAGGAAATGGTATTGAGGATATAGCTTTTAAACTGTCACCTTGATAGTGGAATCCATGGTGGTGTTTGCTATCACCCAGGGAAATGTGGTGAACAAATACTGTCACTAGGGTAATTCGGAGTACATAAGTACTCAGTGTTTCATGAATGTTTAGTAAACAAATGAGAAAAAGGAGTAAGGATATAATCTAGGGGAGTGGTGACATTGAAGAAGAAAAGCCAGCATACTATAGTAGTGGCTTAAAAGACTTTGAGAAGGTAAACTTTGAGAGTGGTATCTCCAAAGCAATGTAGGAGAGGAGAAGGAGATGATAGAAAACAGTGCTACATGATACAAAGACCTTAAGTAGATGAGAACTGTAAATGGGCCTTTGGGGAGACTCTTAAGCGATGGCTGGTTGTCTTAGGGGAGAGAGTGACAGTAAAATTGAGGGGTAGGGATTGGAAGTAGAGCCAGGCACTTTAATAAAGGCTTTTATTTTATGTAATTGATCGGGGAAAGATAAAAAGGACATTGGATATAACTTCAGGGAGATGGGAGCCAGTGGAAAAGCTTTCTTTGGAATGGACCGTGTACTTCCATAGTGTACAAAAAGATAAAGTAAGAAGGAATGACTAAAGGCAGATTTCTTCCTCAGTGCTTTCTAAATGGTAGGAGCCATTAAGGCTGAAGGTTTTCATTTGATGTACCCATAGTAGTTCTATGATATGTTGTTATAAGCCATATACTTTTGTACAGGAAACTGAATATGTATGCATTCTTTCTAGAAGATTCTACTACTTTATACATATTTCTAGTCCTGGCACTGTGTAGATAAAGGCCCTCTTGGGAGAGAAGTACAGTTAGCCCAGAGTGATGGTTCTTTTATCCGTTAAGACTGCTCACCTTTTTACACTACTGATGATTTAAAATTTTAGAAGAGTGTGTGTGTGTGTGTGTGTGTGTGTGTGTGTGTGGCTGGGAGAACAGGGAGACCTCAGCCAAGGTGTTTTTGATCTGGGGCTGTGAACAGATTATAGCTGTCTCTTAATTTCCAAATTTAGGAACCAGAGATTCAAATATATGTTTTTATATAAGGCTGTTTGAAATAGACTTATTATCAAAACTCTTACACTCTTAAAAACTCAGAAACCTAACTAGTTCAGGTAAAACCTTATTGTGTTTTGTCTTCTGAATCAAACATCCAAAATTGGAATCTGAATACTTTAGAAAGCAAAGGATAATTGTTCTCTGTTAACTTCTTTCTCCTATCTGTTTTTTGAGAACCTGGGAATTGTAGGAAAAGAACCGGGGTAAATGTGGGTCAAAAAAAATATATCTCTTCCCCCACTGATTAGAATACTTTTTTCTGTTAGATCCATTTCACTGGGCTTGGCTTCCTCAAGCAAAAGTTCCTTTTTCTGAAGAAATAAGAAACTTGATTCTACCATATATTTCTGACATGAACTTTGTGCAGGATTTATGTGAAGATATATATGAACTTTTTAAGGTAAGTAAATTTTAGTTTTAATTATTACAGAAAATGAAATCTTAAAAGAGATTTTCTCAATAGAGCTAATTTGTAATTTACTGCTTTTGGTATCACTTCTTGTGGTAGAACTTGACATAACAGAAAGGTATTAGCAGTTTTACTCTACAAGAGTATAAATTTATGACGTTACACTTACTATGAGTATTCTTGGAAGTGAAACTTAAAATCTGAGAAGTTGTTTTCTTCAAAAGTTGAATATTTACATAATGACTCTAAAAATTACAACAAATATTTGGTGACCTGTTAAAATTTGCTTCTCTCGAAACAGCATAAAGTCATTGGCTGGAGTGTCATTTAAAATCTTTTCTAGAACAAGTTGGAGTATAAATTAACTATTCTTATCATTCTAGGGGTGTATAAAATGCCTCAGGTAAAAATACTCTTTCATGTCATTTTATCGATTAGGAAAGCTTTCTAATGACCTTATGTGCTAAGTTGAAGGAGTTCATTTGTTTTCAAATATTCATTTCAAAGATCTTGATTTTTGGAATTATAATGGTGTTTTTTCCTTCCTGTGCTAGGTTGACAAAAGATTTAACAAAGCCATGTTTGAAAGTCAGATGTCTGTGATGAGGGGTCAGGTAGGTCACCATTTTTATGCTCTTGCTAAGAAAAAAGAAATCTCTCTTTGAAATACTTATCAACTTTTTTCTTCATTGTAACCCAAAGATGCAAATGTGGATACTGTCTTTATGCTGAACCAAAATATCTCAGATGATTAGAAATAGAAATGATGGTGATTTCAATAGTATCTTTCCTTTATTGTCTTATAGATTAGATACTACTGACTTTGTTGCATTTTGTTTAGTTTTCAGTTTCCCCTACTGTGAATTCTTTGTCCTCGTTTTGGTAATTCTTTTCCTGATTGTTACTTTCTTTTTCCTCCCAGTTCCACTTGCCTAGATGTACCGTTGCCTGTTGATTATTTGCCTCATAGAATGTGCTAGGCCTTGGCGAGAGCAGTCAGTAAATAACCATGTCACCAAGATTGAGCACTGATTGGGGCATAAAAATACCAATTGTAACTCAGTCCTCTCACCCCTTCTTGCCTCCTTTAAGTAGAAATACAAAGTATTAGGTCTACTGGTGTGGACCTGCAGGCCGTGCTGACTATAGATGACATCTAGTTCTTCTACTGTTAATAGTATTTAGATTCCAAAAGGAAGACTTGAAGTGAAAATAGACTATACTGTAAACATTGTCTTTTAGTGACTTGCTAATCAACTTTTTCTTCCTACATTTAATTTAAGGTCATTGTTTGCTCCATCCCTGTGGCAAAAAGATGAGTCTAGAGTTTGTACTATTATATAACTTTAATAAATATTATTGAATTAGATAATTATTTATTCACCAAATATTTATTGTCAGACTAGTGCCAAATATAGCTCTAGTCATTGAGATAAAGCAGTGAGCAGACCCAGTTCTGCATCTCAGAGCTCAGGGAAAGAGGGCAGTTATTAGCTATTACATCTCTGCTCCATTGTATGTATGCAGTGCTTTGCTGGAGCCCTGAGTTTTTTGTGTTTGTTTTATTTATTTATTTATTTATTTATTTATTTATTTATTTATTTATTTATTGTAATCCTCACCTAAGGATATTTTTTTCATTGATTTTCAGAGCTTTGCTGGAGCACTGAGTTTTTTGTGTTTTTATTGATTGATTGATTGATTGATTGATTGATTGTAATCCTCACCTAAGGATATTTTTTTCATTGATTTTCAGAGAGAGTAGAAGGGAGGGGGAGGAGGGAAGAGAGAGAGATATGAGAGAGACACATCGATTAGCTGCCTCCCAAATGTGCCCTGACTGGGGCCAGGGATCAAACCTGCAACCCAGGTACATGCTCTTGACTGGGAATTGAACCCAAGACACTTTGGAGCATGGGCTGATGCTCTGACCACTGATCCACCCTGGCCAGGGCAAGGAGTCTTAAGGGGTTTTTTTTGTTTGTTTTGTTTTTTTATTCTCACCCAAGGACATTTTTCCATTTTTTGTTCAGGTAGAGTGGGGGGGAGGAGAGAGGAACAGAGAGAGAGAAACATCGATGTGAAAGGAACACATCGAGTGGCTGCCACCTGCACAACCGACCAGGGCCGGGGACAAACTTCAACCGAGGTACGCGCCCTTAGCGGGAACCAAACCCGGGTCTCTCAGGACCTCAGGCCGACGCTCTAACCGCTGAGCCAAACCTGCCAGGGCAAGGAGTCTTAAGTTTTAAACAGGAAGGGAAATGGCTGAGGCATTAGTATAGATCCTGATCATGTAGGGCCTTATGTGCCAGAATATAGATTCTACACAAAAGGGATTGGAACAGTTAGAGATTTAGCATTAAACGGGGTTTTGGTAAGTGACATTTTTGGAGAGTAGACAGCCTCAGTTTCTTCTCTGAACTCCCTAAAATTGTGTGCAAAGGGGGAAGCGATAGGATTTCTATCTTAGCGAAGGGGATACCTATACCATCAGAGATTAAGAACCACTGTAAAAGGTTAGGATGGACAGTGGGGTGCACATTTACTCAGTGTATGAGGGGTCTAGAGCCAGGGAGCCTCTTGGGGATGTGTTTCCCATAATTCAGGCATGAATGAAGGGCTTAGATGGTCAGTGATTGTAGTTATATTACAGTGTTACTATCCCAACTACATTTGAGCTAAATTTTCAGGCATTGACAGTTACGCCCTAACTTGACCATTTTTTGCTTTGAATAAATTAACTTATCAATAACCCTAAATATATATCTTTATCTCAGGAATAATTTTTAAAAAATAAAAGCTGTAAATAATTTTATAAGCTTTAGTTGTTGATTAAAGTTAGTACATGAGGAATTTAAATTTAAAATGTTTATCTGAAAAGATATGGAGATATTCCAGTACTGAGTGAGGTTTATTACAAAGATATACCAGTATCTATATGCTATTTTAGCTTTATTTGTTCATATCCTTTCTCACAAAAGACTTAAAGTAGGATACAGATGTTTATAATAAAATAGAAAAATGACAAGATCAAGATTTGGGGAAAGACAAAATAAAATGATGCTTTCTTTATATGTTTTTATTTTATTTTATTATTATTACTATTTTTAATTTGGTTTTGACCTTTCTGATAGCCAGAAAGAGTAGGGTACCTAACCGTGTACATGATTATGTAGGCTCTCTAGTTTTAACTGTATTTTTTAATCTTGTGTGAAAAATCAGGTAGTATTTTATATTCTGAAATAAATCGGTGCTTAATGAAACAGAGGTTTAGCAAACAAAAACAAATAACAGTAACCTATATCCCAAACAACAGAATCATTTAGCTAATTGCTTGAGTCAAATTACTTGTGCTATTTTCATCATTTATAATTATTCCTTAAATCCCTCTTCTCTCCATTTTTGCCAATTAACTTTTTGATTTGTGGTTTGTACAACCAAGTCTTTTGCTCTCACTTATACTGAGTCTTCAGTTTTATACACATAACCAGTGACATGCTCTTAATTCTTCACATAAAGATGTGGCATGGAACTCGAAACAAAATAAATGGAGGCATTTATTTTGAAATCTGGGCTAGTAATGTTTATGAAAGTTAGAGATAAGCCATGTTTTGAATTTTACATTAAATAGCAGTAGGTCAAAATGAGGTTTAAAAAGATCATTCATTTCCCTTTCTCCCTGTACCCAATTTGGAACACCAGACCTCAGAAAATATTTATGAGCAATGTGAAATATATTTTACACATGATTTGAAAAAAAAATGGCAGAAACAATAAATAAGCCCTGGCAGGAAGCTTAGTTGGTTAGAGCGGTGTCCTGATACAACAAGGTTGCTGGTTCAACCCCAGTCAAGACACTTAAATGTAGCAACTAATGAATGCGTCAATAAGTGGAACAACAAAATGATATTTTTCTCTCTCTCTCAAATCAATAAATAAAACATTTAAAAAATAATAAACCATATTACCCAAAGCAATCTATAGATTCAACATAATCCCCATCAAAATACCAACGGCATACTTCACAGAATTAGAACAATTACTTCAAAAGTTCATATGGAACCAAAAAAAGCCTCGAATAGCCACAGCCATCTTGAAAAGGAAGAACAAAGTTGGAGGGATCACATTACCAGATTTCAGGTTATACTGCAAAGCCACTGTAATCAAAACAGCCTGGTACTGGCACAAGAACAGGCATATAGACCAGTGGAACAGAACAGAGAACCCAGAAATGGACCCAAGGCAATATGCTCAATTAATATTTGACAAAGGTGGCAAGAGTATACAGTGAAGTAAGGACAGCCTCTTTAATAAATGGTGCTGGGAAAATTGGACAGCTACTTGCAGAAAAATGAAACTAGACCATCAACTTACACCCTACGTGAGAATAAACTCAAAATGGATAAAAGACTTAAATGTGACTCATGAATCCATAAAAATCCTAGAAGAAACTGTAGGCAACAAAATTTCAGACATCATACGCAGCAGAATTTTCACTGACACATCACCTAAGGCAATAGAAACAAAGGAGAAAATGAACACATCGGACTACATCAAACTCAAAAGCTTCTGCACAGCGAAAGATACAATCATCAAAACGGAAAGGCTACCCACTGTATGGGAGAGCATAATTTCCAATGATATATCAGATAAGGGGTTAATTTCCAATACATAGAGAGTGCTCATACAACTCCACAAAAGGAAGACAAAGAACCCAATTTAAAAAATGGGCAGAGGAACTAAATAGACACCTCTCCAAACAGAACATACAAATGGCTAAGAAACATATGAAGAAATGTTCATCATCACTAATCATCAGAGAGATGCAAATTAAAACAACAATGAGGTATCACCTCACACCTGTCAGAATGGCCGCCATCAACAAATCATCAAACAAGTGTTGGCAAGGGTGTAGAGAAAAGGGGACTCTAGTGCACTGCTGGTGGGCATGCAGACTGGTGCAGCCACTATGGAAAACAATATGGTGTTACCTCAAAAAATTAAAAATTGAACTTCCATTTGACCCAGTGATTTCACTTCTAGGAATATACCCTAAGAAGCCTGAAACACCAATCAGAAAGAATATATGCACCCCCATGTTCGTAGCAGCACTATTTACAATAGCTAAGATCTGGAAACAGCCCGGTTGTCCATCAGTAGACGAATGGATAAAAACACTGTGGTACATATACACAATGGAGTACTACGCAGCTGTAAGAAAGAAAGATCTCTTATCCTTTGAGACTACATGGAGGGACCTGGAAAGTATCATCCTAAGTGAAACAAGCCAGAGACAGACAAGTTTCATATGATCTCATTTATTTCTGGAATATAGTGAACATAACAGTCTGAGGAATGGGGTAGTCCCAGAGACGTGGAAGTGGGGTACAGACTGACAATCCCCAGAAGAGGGGGGAGTGGGGGAGAGATAAACCACAGAACTTATATGCATGTATGCATGAACAGTGGACATGGACAACAAACTGGGGACAGGGTAGGGAAGGAGGGGGTGTGGGGAATCAGTGGGGGAAAAAGGAGAAACATCTGTAACAAAAATTAATTAATAAAAAAATAATAATAAAACTGCTTTATCGGTCATAGTGAACTTGTATTCAGTGATTTGTAAAACTCACTCTTGGAGATTGAATAATAATTGATGTTAAAGAAAATGAACTTAACACTTTAGCACCTTCTGAGTACTTGACCCTTTACTAGATATTTTTATGTTTCTTCTCATTTATCCTCATCACAGCTCTCCATAGTTATCTGCATTTTATGTGGAGGAAACTTGGCTCTGAAGAGTTATAACATCTGTAAAAAAGGGGTCTCCCTCAGCCTGGCAAGTCTGCAACATTAGGCGTTGTCTCTGCCTGGGGCTTTTATCGTCTCTTCTCTGCTCTAATGCTCTTCTAAGTGATGTCTTACCTCTTTTCCTCATTTTTCTTCCACCCCAGACCCAACAGCCTCTCTCAAAGCAAATCTGATCTTTTCTTTTGTGACATAAAACTCCTGTGACTCAGTGTGTACAAGCTCAAGTCGTGGCTTTGAGCACAAGCAACAAGACCCTTCACAGTCCGCTCCCAAACCAGTCTACCTGCCTTTATCTCTTCTTTAGCTCTTGTCATTTGTGGCTTCCCCTAAGATGGGCCACTCTGTTTATTTATTTTTTTTAATCCTCACCCAAGGATATTTTTTAGATTGATTTTTAGAGAGAGTGGGAGGGAGGGAGTGGGGAGAGATAGAGAGAAACATCAGTGTGAGAGAGACACATCGATTGGATGCCTCCTGCACCACCCCAACTGGGGCCGGGGATTGAACCTGCAACCCAGGGACGTGCCCTAGACCAGGAATTGAACCCGAGATCCTATGGTCTGAAGGCCAATGCTCTAACCACTGAGCAACACTGGCCAGGGCTAAGCCCGGCCACTATTTTTTTTTCAAGTAGTATATTTATTTTTTTAGCCTCACCCGAGGACTTTTTTTTTTTCTATTTTTGTTCAGATAGAGTGGGAGGGAGAGAGAGGAAGAGAGAAACATCGATGTGAAAGATACACTGGCTGCCTCCCACATGACCCCAACCAGGGTCGGGGATGAATCACAACCGAGGTACGTGCCCTTGACCAGGGTTGAACCTGCGATTCATTGGTTCACAGGCTGATGTTCTAACCGCAGCCAAGGCGGCCAGGGCAGTCTGCCCACTCTTAAGTGCTCATCCTTCGCATTTTCATTTCCCAGTGGTGTCCTTGTGTAGGCTGTGCTGCTCTCTCCTGAGGTGCCTTTTCCTCTTCCTCTGAAGGACGCCTTCTTTCAAACTCCAGCTGTGTCTTCCTAGACCCCTCCTGCCACCTAGGGAGTTCGGATTTCCACAGTACCCTCTGGGAATCCACCCGCATCACATTTTACTCGGAAATTTGATGTGGACATCAGCATATTGGGCACATTACTGTTAAAAGGATAGCTTATAATCAACCCTAAAGTAGGTATCTGTGACCTTAGGGAGATAATGCAGTAATCCTTATGCCCACCCACTAAAATTTGAGGACCAATGAACTACCTAGTCATAAGGAAAGAAATCTGTGAGGTTATACCATCTGCCCTTGACATAACTATCACATCCCTACCAAGTTATCACATGTGGCATGGATGAAGAATTCTGAAGTGTTTCTCCTTGCCTGCAATGTTTAGTCTGTTTCTGAAAATCATCTTCTCTGAGTTAAACGTATAACACATGAGTGCTGCAAACTCGACTGGATTCTGCTCAGTTCTCATGGGGGAAAAACATAATAATAAATTTGCTTATTCTTTGAGAAATGATATGTAGGGAAGGGGTACAGATTGTAAATTGAGGGCATAGGTCTACTGTAGTTAAAGTGTTTATCACATGACATTACCATTATTCGTGTGGCTGTTGTTTCTAGAATGTGGGTATTTTAGGGCTCTCCTCCCCAACATAGTGCATACCCAGTAAATGTTTCTTTGGTGAATAAATGCAAGATCATTAAAAATCTTCTCAACTCTCAAAGAAATATTAATATTTAGGATAGAATAATTTTTGCTGTTAGTATATATTTGAAAATTGTTAATCTTGTAGAATGACTTTTTATTTTCTTTATACCATTCTGTTTTCCAGAATCTCTAAAATGATTATGTATTGTTTTTAGAGTCAGGAAAATATTAGATGTTACTTAAATTAGTGTGCTTAGACTTTTTTATTAGTGTGCTTATTTTATTAATTTTTTATGCTTTTATTGATTTTAGAGAGAGATGAAGGGAGAGGGAAAGAGAAAAACATCAATCGGTTGCCTCTCGTCAGGGATTAAGTTTTTTGGTTAAGAGGCAATCTAGCCCAGCCAGTGTAGCTCAGTGGCTGAGCATCGACCCATGCACCAAGAGGTCGCCAGTTCGATTCTCGGTCAGGGCACATGCCCAGGTTGTGGGCCCAATCCCCAGTGAGGGGTGTGCAGGAGGCGGCTAAACGATGTTCTCTCTCATCGATGTTTGTATCTCTCTCTCCCTTCCTTTCTCTCTAAAATCAATAAAGAAAAAAAAATTTTTTTTTTTTTTAAAAAGAGGCCATCTATGCCTGGCTGGTTTGGTTCAGCAGTCAGAGCATCAGCCCAAGGACCAAAGGGTCATGGGTTCGATACCCAGTCAAGGGCATCTACCAGGGTTGCAGGTTTGATCCCTGGCCCTGTTCGGGGTCCTGTGAGAGGCATCCAATCGATGTGTCTCTCTCACATCAATGTTTCTCTCTCTCTCCCAGCACATAGAGCACAAAGCCTATGACACTGGAGAGGGATACATTCTTTTCACATATGTGCCCTGACCAGGAATCAAACTGGTGACTTTTCGGCGCATGAGATGATACTCAACCAACTAAGTTACACTGGCCAGGGCAAGACAACATTTTTAGAACAGAATTTTAAAAACCAGTAGAGGGAACTAACCAGAACATTTCATTTCTTACCCATGCTGGTGCCCACATTTTATTTTCATGATTAGAACAATGTTTATAAGTGTAAATTTCATAAATTCTTTCTGTGCTGTTATTCAAATATAGCCACTCTAGAAGATTTTTAAGGGAGAATTTAAAAGGGATCCTAAAACAAAAATACAATAACTGCAATTGCTAGAAATAATTTCCTGATGTGTTAAATATTCTAAATTGTCTACAATACAAACCATCTAGTTTATACTATTTAAAGTATTATGACGTGTATTTATTAGTATGGCTTTGTATTGAAACCTTTATGTTTATCACTATTAAATAGTGTTTAATGAATCAGTAAAGTGCATACCATCTATATATTGGTTATTTCCAAATACTTAAAGGAGACATCCCTATTTCTAAAGTATGTAATGGATTTTTTTTTACCTGCTATTCAGGGAAAATAGAAAATGAATTATTAAAATTTTATTTTATCTGAACAGAGTAGATAAGCTGTAAGCTATATATTGTTTCATAATCTTATTTTTATGCTCAAATAGCAATTCCAAGAATATATAAACATGGAATGTAATGTATTTTTACTTTTCTTAGTTTATGTTTCCAGTTTAAGAGTTAGCTCTGAAATAAAACTTTATTTTAAACAGCTGCCTTCCCAAATTATGTAACCCACTTTCCCACTGACCTTGCATCATGCTTTTTCATGGCACTTTTGCCTGCTAGTACATGGTATAATTTACTTTTTCTTAATGTTTATTGACTCTCCCCTTCACCCCCACCCCCGCTACAATATAAACTCCATGAAGGCAGGGATTTGGTTTGTTTTTTTAGTGATATGTATCCCCAGCACTAGAACAGGGCCTAGTATGTAGTTTGCTTGTATTAAATGTATTTGTTGAATGAGTGGATAAGGCAAGTATTTAGTTAAAACCAGACTATTTAGACCAGTATTTGTTTAGGCTATATGTCAAATGGAATATGTGGAGCTATTCACTCTATTCAGTCTCTGATATCATTTCTCTTGGACGCAGATGCATTCTAGAATATTTTAAAGGTACCAGTTGGCATAGTTATTTAATTCTAATTTTGTACACTTGTGTGTATATGTGTAAACATGCATATATCCATATAATATCTATTTATAGCAGTTACTTGTCATCATATTCTGTTGGGCATAAACAGATGAAATAAAAATTGTAATTATAGCCTGGCCAGTATCGCTTAGTGGTTGAGCGTCGACCCATGCACCGAGAGGTCGCGGGTTCAATTCCTGGTCAGGGCTCATACCCAGGTTGTGGGCCCAATCCCCAGTATGGGGCATGCAGGAGGCGGCCAATCCATGTTCTCTCTCAATGTTTATATGTCTCTCTCCTTTTCCCTTACTCTCTCTAAAATCAATAAAGGAAAAAATTTTTTTAATTGTATTTATGAATAAATGGTTAAACTAATGTCAGTGGACTGAAGGATTTTTATCTTCTTTGAACTGGTGAAAATATCTCTTCTTTTCACAGATCTTAAATCTTGCTCAGGCTTTGAGAGATTGGAAGAGTCCCGTCCAGCTGGTACAAATGCCTTGTGTGATCGTGGAGCACAGTCACAGAACTCACGGTCGGGTCCACCGCACCAGCTCCTTCACTCAGACTTTCCACTGCAGGAAGCCGTTCTTTTCCTCCTGGTAGCTGATGTGACAAACAGACTGTTTGCATTCTTGTGTTGTTAAATCGCTTCAGTTGCCAAAACCTCAAATAATATAAGACTTTAAAAGGTTATGTTTTGAATGTTATCAGAAGTTTACAGTTTTTTGTCCAAATATTAAATTTCTATTTCAGGGAAAAAGTGATATCTCTTCTAAACAGTATTTTTGTATAAAAATCATGCTTTATGTTGTTGGTGTTAGTTGAAAAGGTAATGTCATGGTTTACACATTCTGAAATGACTGTAATTACTTTAGAATTCCAAAAAAAACAAAGAATAAGGTATTTGTTGGCTTTGAATAAAATAATTTTTTGTATAGTTTATAGATATTGAGAAGAATGTTCATGTTAACTCTTCTCACACTGTAAGAAGCCGGTGAGTGTGAAACTGCTCTTCTGAGCCCGAACTGGTTCGTTAGAGAAGCCGGTAAGAATGCAGCGCTGCTGCCTTAATTTAGAAAGCTGCTAATTTCGAACTTGAATAAGTGCCCCTAAAGTGACCATTGGCAGGGACCAGAAAATTGTATCTTGGTTAAGTAATAGATGACCATTTTCTCTTTTTGTATTTCAGAATATTTTTGATCAATTATTTTGTTAGAGTGAGAAGAAAATCCAAAGATACCTCCTTTTTTAAAAAATGGAAACACTCAAATGAGACTTGAGAATTATATAAAATTATGGTAGATTCTTAATGTTTATGAAATTTCAACCTAGCATTAAAAATTCCCTTTTGTTCTTTGCATGGGATCAATTACATAATTAGTACTCCAGAGTACTAATCTTGTTCAACTTGGTACTTAAGTTAGTATTAAACCTCATTGAAAATTAAAACATACCTCAAATTGCATATTGGATTGCTTATAATTACAGTCAAATTTAGAATATCAGCCCTAATTGAAGTGGACCATGTCAGAGATAACCATAAAATCATTTATACTTGATTTTGAATATTAATATGTCTGACATCCTGGGACTTGGTAGCACTTTTAACTCACCGAGTGATTTAAATTAAGATGAGCCCAATGCGAAGACGTGATTCTAAAGAAGCAGAAGTGTCCTTCTCTTCTTCAGGCTCCAGACAAATACCACCACCACTCGGCCTAAACTGGGTGGCTTGTGATCTTGACCTTTTGCTTTTTTAATGAAGTACTTTTTTTGTAAAAAGTATTTCCTGAAGGTCAAGTTAGGGTGGAAGACAGATCTGCAGTGCTCTCTTCCTTCCCTCTTTTCTCTTGATCTTTGTGAATGTGACGAGTGAGGATACTGCTGTGCAAGCTGAAGTGTTCTCCTACCTCCCCCGACCCTTCATCATCCTAATGCTGAGATGATGGGAAACTGGAAGCTTAAAACTCGAGCTACTATCTTTAGATAAATGCTAGTAATTAAAATGTGCCTTTAAAGATATGTTCTAAAAGAACTAAGATGTTGTGATGTGGGTACTGCTTTCATAAAACAGTTTTTTTCAGTATTTTGAGAATTGCTATATTAATTTTTATAATGGAAACCTTAGAAATTGCTACTGTTTTGTATCATAAAATTAAAATAGTATAGAAATATTTTTTAATGGTCTCACCAGGCCAGAAAAGTTGAAATATCTAAGATGTGATTATAAGTCAGAGTACATTGGTAATATTTTATCAATTTTTTTGAACTTAATTCTTATTTAAATATTGTATTAATTTTTTGTGAATATATTATCGTGTCAATTGGTAGCCTAAAGGTAATAAAAAATCATTGTCTTAAAGCTAGATTTCTCCTAAGTATGTATGTTGAATATTAGAAAGTTTGTGAACACATTTATATTTATAAATGATGACAAATCACCATTTTCTTGCTTCGTATTATGGCAGTATAGTTTATTAATTCTTAATAATTCCAAAAGATCTATTTAACTGGAGACATTTTACTTTTACTTAATTATATGCTGCCTTATTCTTTCTCAAATTTGTCAGCAATTGAAGACTACGGAAACGTGGTGTTTTGCAGACTTGAAGACGATTTGATTCACATTTTTTAAAAAAATTTAAATACTATGCTAATAGAATTAAACCTCTATTGAAAAATGCTGGTGACATGTTTTTTGATCAGATAACATCTTAAGTCCTTTACAAATATGTGAAGAGACAGGCAGCGTCTTATGTCTTTTGTTTTCTAGTCTACCTGCTTTCCCAAAGGTGCTTGGGCACCTGCACAGGATTGTGGCAAAGGTTCTCAAATTGCTCTGTTTTCAAGCCTGCGTTACAGTTCATTTGGGGCCATGTGACTGTTCTGGCCAGTGAGATGTGGGGACAAGTGATATATGTGACTTCCAGAGCTGGCAGTGAAACTCACCGCCATCACGGTCAGTGGTCATGACTGAACACACTCTCCCGTCTTCCTGTCTGGCTGTGAACACGCACTTTACAAAATGGAAGCAGCCACAGCCTGTGCAGCACTGCTTGGAGGACTTCACTGGACTGGGGCACGACAAGAAATACATGTTTGTGTTTAATCATGAAAATTTTGAATATATTCATTACTAAAGCATAGTCTGTCCTATCCTGAGCATTATAATGTAAATAGAAAAATACAAATCATTTAAAAATAAATGATTAGCCCTGGCTGGTTTGGCTCAGCGGTTAGAGCGTCGGCCTGCGGTCCGGAGAGACCCGGGTTCGGTTCCCGCTAAGGGCACGTACTTCGGTTGCAGTTTGTCCCCGGCCCTGGTTGGTCGTGCGGGTGGCAGCCACTCGATGTGTCCCTTCACGTCGATGTTTCTTTCTCTCTCTCCCTTCCTCTCTCTCCCTCCCATTCTATCTGTACAAAAAATGGAAAAATATCCTCGAGTGAGGATAAAATAAATAAATAAATAAATAAATAAATAAATAAATAAATAAATAATAAAAATAAAAATAAATTATTAGCTCTGGCCAGTTTTCTCGGTGGTTAGAGCGTTGACCCACAGACTAGCGAGACCCAAATTCAGTTCCTGCTAAGGGCACATACCTCAGTTGTAATTTGTCCCCGGCCCTGGTTGGGGTTGTATGGGTGGCAACCAGTCGATGTGTCTCTCTCACATCGATGTTTCTCTCTTCCTCCCTCTCTCCCACTCTATCTGAAAATAAATACAAAAATGTCCTCAGGTGAGGATAAAAATAAAATATCAGCCCTGGCCGGTTTGGCTCAGAGGTTAGAGCGTCGGCCTGCGGTCTAGAGAGACCCGGGTTCGGTTTCCGCTAAGGGCACGTACCTTGGTTGCAGTTTGTCCCTGGCCCTGGTTGGTCGTGTGGGTGGCAGCCACTCGATGTGTACCTTCCACGTCGATGTTTCTCTCTCTCTCTCTTCCTCTCTCTCCCTCCCACTCTATCTGAACAAAAAATGGAAAAGTGTCCTCGGGTGAGGATAAAAAAAATAAATAAAAAATAAATTTTAAAAAATAAAATATCAATTATAGGAGGCAGATAGCAACAGCGATGGGTAGTTTTTTTTAATCTCCCCAAATCCCCATGGAGCTATCGTATAGCAAAAGAAAAAAAAAAAAAATACAGTGACACCGTCTTCACTAAAATTAGGTGATAGATGTACCTTGTGAATCCCAGATTCTGAGCAGTTTGGACCAAAATCATCAATATCAACAAGATCACATGTGAACAACAGCTTGGAGGAGCAAGCAGAGAGAAAGAAAAAGAGAACTTGTGATGTTTATAAGAGCCAAAGAATCCAGAATTTACCAACATGTACTCAGCCCCAAAGGAGGAGTTCCCTGTGGTGGTGGCAAGCTCAACTGGGGGATTAAAAAACCACATTCACAGTTGGGAGAGGGCTGTCCAGAAATTAATTACAGCCAGTATAATTAGAGGATCCTGCAGAAAGGGATGAGGCTGCTAGGGCCACCCAGTCTTCAGGGTCTTCAGACGCAGCCAGTGAGAGCACATGGCCTGCACCGGTGAAACGGGTGTGGAACACACTCTGACAAGGGAAGGATCTGGGAGTAAAGGAGAGAAGGCTCAGACACTGAATAGATCAGGGGACCAAATGAGACATGTCAGAAAGTACCTAAGAGGACACACAAAACCATGTTCTCTAATACTGTTTACTAACTGCGGAAGAGAAGCCTAGAACTACAAAACTGGGAAACTCCTGGTTCACCTCACCTCCTACATAGGACTCTTGGGAAAATGTAGGAAAACCTATGTCACTTAAACATGACTACATAATATGTGCCCCCCAAAAAGAAAACAGGATAACAATCTGTTTAACATACCCAGAGAAAATGAAGATATTCCAGAAACATTTACAAAGCAGAGGAAAATATATATTTTTAATGCTAAAGGAATTTAAGAAATGATAGAACCTAAGAACAACATAACATCAAAATCAAAAAAGCAGGAATGAGATGGGCAAGCAATGGGGAAATAAAGTGAGAGCTGACAGAGGAAATTTTGGAGTTAAAAATGTGTTTCAGAAATTAGAAGTAACAGGAACAAATAGACAACATATCCACAAAAACCTCATAGCAAACATCGTGGTGCTGGGAAAACGAAAGGTTTCCATATTTGTTCTCTTGCTGCTGTAACAAATGACTACAAACTTTAGTGGCTTAAAACTACCGATTATTTTAACAGTTCTGTGGGGAAGAAAAGTCTGATACAGATCTCACTTGGCCAAAGTCAGGGCGTCAGTGGGGCTGTGTTCCTTTCTGGGGTCTAGGGAAGAATGTTTCCTCCCCGTTCCCAGTTTCCAGGGGCCTCCCACCTTCCTCGCCTTATAGCCCTCTACCTCCGTCTTCAAAGCCAGCTGCAGTGGGTTGAAACCTTTTCTTGCCAAATCACTCTGACACCCACTCTTCTGCCCCCCTCTTCCACTTTTTTTTAAAAATAATTTTTTATTTTTCAATTACAGCTGCCATACTATATTAGTTTCAGGTGTACAGCCCAGTGATTAGACATTTATACAACTTACGAAGTGATCGCCCTGGTAAATCTAGTACCCATCTGACACCACACATAGTTATTAATATTATTGACTATATTCCTTATGCTGTCCTTTACATCCCATGACTATTCTGTGACTATAAATTTGTACTTCTTAATCCTTTACTTCTTTCCTTTTCCACTTTTAAGGACCCTAATGATTACATTGGGCCCACCCAGGGAATCTAGGATATTCCTATATTAAGGCCTTGCTAATATGCAACCTTAATTCCATTTGCAACTTTAATTCCCTTTGCCATGTAACATATTCATAAATTCTGGAGATTAGGACATGGGCATCTTTGGGGGCCATTCTTCTGCCTTCCATATGCTCCCTCTGAGATCAGTTACGTGACACGGAGGCCTGCTTTCATTGATCCTATTCGGTACTGTACTGTGGAGCCTCGCTAGTGAGGGCAGGAAAGAGAGAGCATGAGGGTCAGAAAGTGAGAAATAAGACTGTCATTATTTACAGATGACATAATTATGCATGTAGAAACTTCAAAAGAATCTACCAATAACTATTAGATTTAATAAATGAATTTTGTAGTTTATATACCAGCAACATTAGTTAGGAAAAGAACATTTTAAAAGATACCATGTATAGCAGCAACAAAACATCAGATTCCTAGGAATGAGTCCAGCCAAAGATGTGCAAGGTCCCTACACCAAATTATAAAAGTATTGAGAAAACTGCAGCAAATATGATGAGATGACCACATTTGTTCAAGTCTGAGCGGTAGGTGAGTGAGTGTTTTTTATATTCTCTGTTGTTCTCCATGTTTCGATTCTTTCATTGAAAGAAGAAGCCTTTATATGGGGTCTCATTTACATGAATGTTTTGTTTGCCACCTTTATTAGTTTGCTAGGGTTGTCATAAAAAAAAAAAAAAAACACTACAGACTGAGTGGCTTAAACAACAGAAATTTGTTTTCTCAGAGCCTGGAGCCTGGGAGTCCAAGGTCAAAGTGCCCGCAGGGTTGGGTTGACCTGCCTCCTGGGTTTACAGAAAGCTTCTCTCTGCGTCCTCACATGGCCTTTTCTCTGTGTACTCACAACCCTAGCGTCTCTTCCTCTTCTTGTAAGGACACCAGCACTACAGGATTAGGACCCACCCCTATGACCTCATTTAACCAAGGCCCTATCTCCAAATATAGTCACCTTGGGGGTTAGGCCTTCAACATGAATTTTGAGGAGGACAAGTTTCAATCCATAACACCACCCAAAGTAAAAAACGTAAGCACCTACGTATGCATTAGTCTCTAAAGTGGCCAAGCTCAGCCTCTCTCTACCTTAGTCAATACTGCGGTCTAGCCACCTTCTGAGTCATATTCCGAACAGAAGACTGAGATCATAGGAATACCCACCTGTAAATATTTTCTAAAGTGAGGTCTGAGAGTTTTTCTTCTGAATAATGTGCAGAAACTCTTCAACCTGGATTTGTAATAATTATCTTGACTACGGAGAAAAATGTCTTGCTTACCGCTGGGCTCTTGGCTCTATTCTACATA